CCCCCCCCCCCCCCCCCCCCCCTACTTAAATTCAATACATTGTTTTCACCATTGTGTTTATACAACCTTGCAAATTTACTTGTGGGAATTTCCATTGTGTTTGCAGCCCTTACACTTTGTGTTTCATTATGGCATCTTGACCATGAAAGAGTGGCTCCAACATTGTCCCGTTCGGCGTTACATTCGACAATACATTGATCATAAAATGACTGAAATATCACAAATTTAAAAGCCGATAGTGATGAATGGTGATCACTGTGGATGTATTTCGGTCTTGTTAGGCTACACTTATTCTTTTGACCACCTATCCGTAACAGGATTATTTGCATCAACAGCCGTAAAAAAGCACCCAAATAAACAGCAGTTTGCGAATAATATTGTTGCGATTTACCAAGGTTGCGGCCCGTTCCAACTTTGTAAAATTGAAAATTGTGAACTTTTGTCCTCTATTTCAAGCTTGTAGCCTTCCAAGTTTACTCACATAAAATGACTTTCGCTTTATAAAGTCTATTTCATCGGAAAACTTTTAAGGTTCATCGGAAAAATAAAAAAAATATGTACAAAATCGATGACACCATTCGCTCGTAGATGGCCATCTTGAATTCAGTGACGAATAGCAATGACGTAATTTTTATTTTTTATTAAGGACGTAATTGTCATTTTGTGGCTAACCATCCAAGATCCGACACAAATGCGTGCCGAAACCTAGAGTCGCTGCGAGCTCTGCCCAGCGACTAATAATTTGCATTTCAACTAGTGGAGTAGTGGTCCGACACGCGTGCTTGTTGCATGTTATGAGTGCGTCAGAACATCTGTTCTACGTACGAAAAATGCATTTCCAGGAAGGTCTAGTATTCATTGTCACTATTTTCACTTGAGCTGAAATCATCTTGCGAATCATAAGTGTCAGAATCACAATCAATGTCTTCCTTGTTTCCATTGTTGTTCTTGCAACCAACGCATTTACATAGATCTGAGCACTTCATGCAGTTCTGCTTTTACACACGAGCATCTTTTGGTTTCACAGCCTTTTTGACATTTGCAATTAACAAATTCGAGGAGTGATTCGGGAGCAGGGGCAATAGTCATCCACTTGACCAAAACGTTTCCAACATCATCTACTTCCCAACCGTACTCACAGAATGACGGCGGGTTCAAGACAGGTTGCACTGCATGACTCCAGATATACATGTAACATTGATAGTTTGCTCGACTGATATGCTGATCAAGTGAATCCTGGTTCGGTGGCAAAAGTTCCTCATCATATTTTCCACTTTCAAAACGCTTGATATCGAACAGCATTGACGTCGGAACACTCTTCGAAACCATATAGGTGACATATGAATCTATACAATCCACTTTTTAGTTCAGCCGATGGTGCAATTTCTCTACCCATGACTCCAAAAAGATTTGCGTATTCCTCCTTCTTTTTCGCGATTTTCAGTGCCGTTACTTTGCCTTTGCCATAGAAAGCGCTCGTGGTATCAGAACCTGTAAAAACATAAGTGCTCTAAACCAATACCAGCAGACAATTTCAATAAATCGAAACATAATACGGATATTAACATCTCATTCTTGTCTTGTTTTAACTCATATCATGAATTTGAGGATGTTAATATTCGGCTTATGTTTCGTTTAATTACTAATGAACAAGCCTATGCTTTAAATACTGCAGAACAACAAATCCGTAATTGCATGTAGATCGATTAGCGAGCAACACCATTGATCTCCAAGACAATGCCTAATCTTGGTGACGGAAATATTCCGTCTTCCGGTTCCTACACCAGTTTCAAACATGATATCAGCATCAGTGCCTACGCAAGCGTTAAGTGCGATCAAAAGCACGTCTGTATCCGGACTCTTGATTATGATGGTGCGATATTCCAGAGAAGTATGCATTGTGTCCGCCTCTTCGTGGTCACAGTAAAGTTCTCCGATTTCAGAGCACATCATCTCCCCATTTGAATAAAAAAATCTGTGACAAATTTCTTCGTGTGCTAAAAATACATCTCTACGCCCCCCAATAATTGCGGATCTGCCTTCCTCCAGGTATTAAAAATAAATTTCATCAATTCTTCTTTGTTATCACCTGAAGACATAAATTTCTTCCACTGACGAGGAACTTTTTGCTGCTCACTAAATATGCGTATCACCTGGACACCCCTCATGGCTCGTCTGACCCTCTCCAGATTCTTAATACTTTGACGTGGATATCGGTCGCCGACGAAATCTACCCGTTTGCATTTGGAAAAAATTGCAGCGTTGACGACCTTCGTAAGTAAATTGGCTGCAAGTTCGCCAAATGTTGCTGGAATGACAGTCAATGTTTGCAATACCGCCATTGCATCAAGAATGCATGCCTTATTTTCAACAGCCGAAAGGACGACACAAGCACCCGGAACGTCTTCTTCAATCTTGTGGAGTAATTTTGATTTGGCAGTTTTAACAAGGTCTCCTTCACTTGTTGCCAATGAACTAGAGAATGGGCGGAGAGAATACTTCAATACTTCCTCCATCTGTAATTGTCTACTTTTTGCAATTAGAAGCATTTTAGCGAATAGAGTTTTGCAGTTCTTCATAGCCACAAGTTATCCTTTCTTGCTTTTGCTCGTGACCTTCTTACCAACAACGGAATATGTTTGCAACTTTGTTTTCTTTAACGCTGAATATATGTTTGGTTCAGATCCAATGATGTGCGTCTTCATGAATTCAACTGCAGTAGTTTCACCTTTCTGCAACATAGTTTTCATGTCTTCCGCAACTTCAAGTGGGGCAATAGTTCCGCTTGTCAAATGCACCAGTTCATCATGCTCATTCGCAAAAGGATTGATCATTGATTTTATTGTTTTAGTAACATCCTCTACTGCTTTCTCATCTGCTTCTATCCGCGTTTTGTCCAAATTCTTTCTTAACCTAAATGATAAATTAACGTTTTGTGAAAAGCTCGCATTCGTTGAAACTTTTAAAAGGGAGATAAATACTAATAATGTAAAATTGAATTACCTTGTAACTTCAGTTACGTTTGCCATGGCTTCACACTGTTTGGTAATAGCACTCCTCTCCGCTTGCCCCATTAACCAACGGTGGACAGCTCCTTTGTTCAGCGTCATCCCCACCATCCCCCCTTTCATTTTTGAATCTCTACAAAAAATAATACACATATAAATACCCATTTAGCGCGCATACTAATATACTAATATACTGTATATATAAGATATTTATTGCATAGCAATTCTCACCTATTCAGTGTCTGTTCAATTGTTTGATCACATGCCACACTTGAGAATCCATATTCATCTTGCCTTTGTACGGTCCAGTTCTGTGTAATGCTTGCGGCCACAATTAACTTTAGTAACAAGCATATAAAAAAGAAAAATACGTATCATAAACATTCCATTATGGGAAATTTAGCATTACTGAATACATTAGAAGGTTCGTTCTTCGACACGCTGTAAAATCGAAGGCATTGGAGTCCAATGTAATAGCTAGTATAGTTGTAGCAACAAATTAAAGGAGCGGAAATGAATTAAGGGATTGCCGGTACACTTACAGGGGTGTGTTTCATCGAGGCACATCATCTCAAGCCAATAACACGGTGCATAGCGGGAATAATTTACCCGAACTGTTGCAAAAAACCAGGGAATCATGGAACGTAATGAACTCAGGTATAGTGTCCAGTCCGATGTTCTTGTCGCTCTGACATAAAGTAGAAGTATTTATTTATTTAGCTTTTGCCAACTAGGGCAGGGTCACCACAACAGCATATTCCAATTACTGTGGGCCCTTTTACCTAACCCACCCTGTCAACTTTCCCTGTGGGAGGAAACCGGAGTACCCGGGGAAAACCCACGGCTTTCGGCAGAGCGTTGACTTTTACTCTTTTCACATGGGGACTGGGTTCGAGTCGCATTGAGAAGGTACTTAGTGAGACTCGAACCTGCAGCCTCAGAGGTGAAAGACAAGTGCGCTAACCACTTGGCCACCGAAGCCCCATAGGTGAAAGGCAAGTGCGCTAACCACTAGCTTGGCCACCGAAGCCCCAAGTAGCTGTACCATCTCGATGTACTTGGACCAGAATGCAAATAAGGGATTTTCTTCACATTGTTTTTCGATAAACAAGTCGTACAACATTTTCATATCGGTGACTTTGTCGCTAGCGCAGATTTCCATAAACTTTCGTCTCTCTTTGCCTTCTTGCACATTGATATCGATCGCGTGGATATCACCTTTTTCCAATGTTGACAAAGTTTTCTCGAAGGCTTGGAAGCGCAACCTTTCCATTGCCTCATAGATCATTTTATGAGCTCTTACGCAGCGGTTGTAGTGCTTTCCAGATAATACACCTTTCAACGATCCTGGTGCAACACTCTCTGATTCGATCATAATGTCATAAACAAGAAATATAAAACAACACCGATCAAACAGAGAGATGGGACCAGGGTCGTCAAACGAACGGACAGACAGATGGATGGACAGACGGACGAAAGAACAAACATATAGAAACAGGAAATTGAATACTCACTTGCAGTCCTGCGTCTTTAAAAATTTTCGCTATGGCAGTGCAAAACGACATTACTGTGTGGAAATCACCGAGTCTAATTACCAGACGTCTCTTAAGCTCTTCATCCTTCCATCTTATCATCTGCGCTTTGGGGTAAATTGCTTCATCAAAGACTAGAACAATTTCTGGGAGTTGGAGAAGTTGGCAAATGGAAACGCTATGTCGCAATATTTCGTCGACTGTTGCCATGTCGGTAACTGGGGCATCGATGACTGGCAAATAACCGATGTTTGAAGTACGTCTTATCTCTTTATGAACTTGGGTGTTGAATCCTGTCCATCCTGGCAAACAGTCCCCACTTTCTGAAGCGCACTTTCTGGACAACATGTACACGAAATCAGCATTTCTGGCCATATTTTGCTGATAAAGATAGCTTTGCTCTTCGAGAGGAATGTCAGAACTTTGGTCTTGGAGAGATATGGTTCCTCTCTCTTTGCTTGTGTAGGGAGCAATGTTGATTCCAGGTGCCTTCACTGTGCGATGCGTCTTACTCACGGTGGTTTTTTCTCTTAATCTGACGTCTTCATTCTGTATAATAACGAGACGGGAGTTCGCTACGTGTGTTGTCCCTTTCCCAGACACAGTCTCTTCGCTAAAATCATTATTATCCCAAACAATTGTCGTGAACGACTCTGGATTCATATTCCTTGGAAAGATGATTTCTTGACCATTGGTGCTGGCTAGAGCTAATGCAGTATCATGTCGGTAGACAGTATCTGTTGATGCAGTATCTCCCAAACCATGCAGGATCCTCAGTAACCTGATTGAGCCAGTCATCTGCCGAACTGTCATCCCCAGGGCTAGTGACTTGTGAGTTTGCTTCTTTCCACTTGACTCTGCGTATATCATGTCTTGTGCGATTGATGGAACTTTCGTTTTTTTCCCTTGGGCGGATTTCCACCATTTCATGCTGAATCGGTTCACAGGAAAATCCGAGACACCATGCTTGAAAGTTGTAAAGCTTTATGGGAATCGATTTAGTTGCTAGTGCCAAAGTCAGGTCGTGAGAATCGGGAGGCCAGCCGGAATGAACGCCTTTACTTTCATTTATGAGATTTCTAACCTCCAAGGCGGCATGAAACAATTGCTGAAGCGAAGAGTCCGATTTCCAGGTAGCAGTTCGTTTATTACTGTTGGTCCGTTCTTCTTTACTATACTCGCTATCATCATTCAATTCATCATCGAATTCATCACTATCTTCATCTTCAGTATCGGATTCAGTATGGATTTCCATTAAAGGGGAAGTCAGAGTTCAGAACAACTTAGGCTGATGTGAAAGATCATATAATGCTTACCTATCATGCGAAGTCCCACATCTCTAAGTTTTACGTGTAAGTTGCTTCTATTATTTATGTTGTAGATATGTAGGTTAAGTTTTTTCAGCAACATGCACAACTATGCATTATTATGGGCGGCATTATTATACATTATTATTGTGTTTGTACTTCAAATAAAGGTAAAAATGTATTAAAAATTTTATTATGTAATATTTACATTGAATTTCGTGGTTGAAGTTGAACCAACTATGGCTAAAAATCGTAAATTTAACTGCTATGCTTTAGCCCAAATTAACTTGGTTTAGCCCAATTAACTTATGATTAAATTGGAACATGGCTTTATGCATGTATGTGCCTTTGTACTCACTGCCAAATAATGGATAGGGAAGAAGAAAGTATTTGTTGCCAAGAGATCCCAGCTTGTTTTTCTATAAACCAAGAAGCAGCACAAATTGGGGAGATACCCGTCCCAGAATGTATTACTGATAACCCTGCATTTCAGTATTTATGTCTAAATTATTGGGTCTTTTTTCTTACAACAATTTTAAATGGAGGGGAACAAGATAGTTGTAAATATTACATAATGTATTATAATTAGTTGTAATTAGAAAATATTAATGACAAAACAAAACAAGCAGATTACTGTAGGTTGAAAATAATGTTAATAAATATATATACAGTAGCAAGCCAAATAGCAATATTACAATAATATATCGAAAGTAAGAAATGAAAACCCCTATCACATATTTAATTACGCATCTGCAAATTTAAAACCCTCAAAAACAAAGTCCTCTTCTAAACCTGGTGGTGGGAAGTGTTCTCGAATACAACTAACTGCACAAGATGGCAAGGGGACCCTTATCTCTTTGACTAATATATCCTCAGGCCCATCATGTGCCTTTATGCCATAATGTTGTCTATAATCGCTCCAAGCAACCTGTAAGACCCAATAATTTAGACATAAATACTGAAATGCAGGGTTATCAGTAATACATTCTGGGACGGGTATCTCCCCAATTTGTGCTGCTTCTTGGTTTATAGAAACACAAGCTGGGATCTCTTGGCAGCAAATACTTTCTTCTTCCATATCCATTATTTGGCAGTGAGTACAAAGGTACATACACGCATAAAGCCAAGTTCCAATTTAATCATAAGTTAATTGGGCTAAACCAAGTTAATTTGGGCTAAAGCATAGCAGTTGAATTTACGATTTTTAGCCATAGTTGGTTCAACTTCAACCACGAAATTCAATGTAAATATTACATAATAAAGTTTTTAATACATTTTTTACCGTTATTTGAAGTACAAACATAATAATAATGTATAATAATGCCGCCCATAATAATGTATAATTGTGCATGTTGCTGAAAAAACTTGACCTACATATCTAAAACATAAATAATAGAAGCAAATTTAGTAAATAATTGCCAGTTCGTGTCCTGAAGTCTGGTGGTTTTGTCAAGAACTTGACGAAGATTCTAAAGCCATTTGGTTCAAGCGCGTATAAGGTTGAATCATGTTTTAAAATTACGTCTCTTTCGACGTTCATATCTTCGCTATAACTCGATCCACTTCCAGAACCATCGCTCGAAGATTCGTTTGAGTAATCAATATCCATTTCTCTTCATGCAGTATTTTTCTTAAATTTATAAATACTATTTTTAATTGCAAACTGTACATTGATAGGCATCTATATCGTCCTATTAACTCTTAACTCTAGAACATTTATCGGTATACGTAGGCCTCATTATAAATTTCCTTTCTCTATGAAGATTTTAACTATATTAGCGAAACAGACATATAAGCGAAAGAGAAAGGGATAGACTAGAAGGACTGAAATTTAATCCGTTTAGCGACTTAAGACTCGCAGATGCTGCTATTAAAAAGAAATTAGTCGAACCTTGGCGACCTGGTAGATAATGAAAACATTGACTGCAACTATTTCTTACCAAACGAATTTGCAGAAAGATTTGCTGGAAAAAATATGTGGATAATTTAAAATTAATGCACTTAAACATAAGAAGCATATCAAATAAATTTCACTTATTCTATCACATGCTGGGATCTTTGAATACTAATTTTAAAGTTATTGGATTAACTGAGACATGGCTTCATGATGATAATCAAGATAATTTCTCATTAAAAAACTATGATTTTGTGAATTTAAACAGAAAACTTAAAAAAGGTGGTGGAGTGGGTATTATATTTCACAACATCTTAAATATAAAACTAGGAATGATCTGAATACCACTAAAGAGGACATAATTGAGTCTGTGTGTATTGAAATACCCACAAAAGTTAGTAAAAATATTATTGTTGGGGTGATTTATAGACCACTGAACAGTAAATTTGATGAGTTTGAAAGAACACGTGCACTGAATGAAACATTGTCCAAAATTGACAAAGAGAATAAAACGTGCTATCTCATGGGTGACTTTAATGTTGATATGCTAAAAAATGAAACTTGTGATTTTGCAAATAGACTTACACAAAATCTTTTTACATTGTTCTATTTTCCCTTAATTACAATGCCTATAAAAGCCCTGGGTATGACAAAGACAATAAAAGCCCTGGGTATGACAAAGACAATAAAAGCCCTGGGTATGACGAAATCAATGCCGAAATCATTAAAACTGTCGCAACAGATATTAGTCAACCACTTACCCATATATTCAACTTGAGTTTCACAACAGGTTTTATCCCTGAGCAGTTAAAGTTGGCCCTGGTTACTCCTATTTTTAAAGCGGGTGATAAACAAATATTTGAAAATTACAGACCTATTTCCGTCCTGACGTGTTTCTCTAAACTATTAGAGAAACTTATGTACAAAAGACTAATTAGTTTTATTGAGAAAAACGAAATACTATAACAGAAAACCAATATGGTTTTAGGCGTAATAAATCAACAGAAATAGCGATTGTAAATCTTGTTAGCAAAATTTCCAAAGCAATTGATGAAGGTAAATATACAATAGGAATTTTTCTTGACCTATCAAAAGCTTTTGATACCGTCGATCATGATATTTTATTAAAAAAGATGGAGCATTATGGAGTAAGAGGGCTTGCTTTAACGTGGTTCAAAAACTATTTAATGAATAGAAAGCAGATTGTGAAATTCAAACAGGAAAACTCTAAAGAAATGAAAATTACAACTGGTGTTCCCCAAGGATCTGTTCTCGGGCCATTATTTTTTTATTATACATAAACGACATACAAAACTGCAGTGATATTGTTTCATTTGTCCTGCTGGCAGATGATACAAACGCATTCTATTCTAATTCCAGCGTTAATATAGCAAAAGAAACAATGCAAAGAGAGATGAATGAAGTATTTAATTGGTTAAACACAATTAAACTCTCTATAAATACAACTAAAACAAAATTGATCCTTTTCAGAGCACGCAATAAAAAGCAAGTACTAGCTGAAATTGATATTAAAATAAATGACCAGTCGATCGAGCAAGTGAAATGTACAAAATTCTTGGGTGTTCTAATCGATGAAACACTCACATCGAATAATCACATTGGTTCAGTTTTAAAAAAAAAATATTTTAATCAATCGGAATTATTTCTAAAATTCGGCATCATACGAGTCAAAATACATTAAAATTGCTTTACTATGCATTTGTCTATCCTTATCTCACTTACGCTAATTTAGTTTGGGGTAACACGTACCCTTCAAAATTGCAAAAATTGATGAGTGTCCAAAAGAAGATTGTGCGTCTAATCACTTTCAAATCGTATTCTGAGCACACGGAACCATTATTCAAAAAATTAAATCTATTAAATATTTACAAAATAAATTATTATTTGACCAGTTTATTTATGTTTCAATTTTACAACATGAACAATATGCCTGAAATTTTCAACAATTTTTTCAAAACTAATAATGAAATTCATCATCACAATACTAGAAGATCCAAAAAACTACATAAAACCTACACCCGAACTAATTACATGAAACATACTCTCTCCAATAAAGGAGTAGAAATTTGGAATAATTTGAACGAAGATTTAAAATCCATTAAATTTTACCAATCGTTCAAAAAACAAGCTAAAACTTATTATCAAATACAAGAATAATAATACAGAATTATATTATTCATGGACGTCTAAAACAATGCTTCCATCATCATGCACTCCTAACTTCGTATTTGTTGTATATCTATATTATTGTAAAACTATATCACAACTTTCTTTAAAATTTTTTGTACTATATATTAACTGACATATAGCAATCGTTTGAATTTAATATTTACTGTAATAGGGGCCTTGCACTATCACTGTAAAAACTGATAGGTTAAAATAACCAAAAAAAATAGGTTATTTGGTTTGGTCTAGGACAACCCGATAAAAATAGGTTATTTCAATAGGTTAAAAGAACCAGAAATAAATAGGTTAAAACAAACCATTAAAAATGGGTTGGTTTATACCCATAAGAAATAGGTTGTTTTAATAGGTTAAAACAACTAAAATTAAATAGGTTAAAACAAACCATCGAAAATGGTTACTTTAACCTATAAATCTGTAATATGTCATTTTAACCTATTAATTATTGGTTGATTGAACTAAAGATTTATGGTTATTTTGACCAATTAAAAAAAGTAATTCCAACCTATATTCAAAAGTTAAAATGACTAAAATTTAAACTGTCAAATTGAGCATATTTCAACCAAATAAATATAGGTTGTTTTAACTATAATACAAATGGCACGGATATTCACCAATAATATTTTGGTTGATTTGGCCAATTTTTTTAGTTATAGCAACCAGTAAATAACGGTCAAAGTCGGAGTACGAAACATCGCGCACTTTCGTTGGTTAAATGATGTTGCGTCAACTGAATAAGATACGCTAAAACGAAATAGTTAAACAATAATTCTGCAGGCAATTAATCATCCAAGTAGGCTATAATCAAACAGTATTATGAACTGTATATAAAAATATATTTTGTAACAT